ACCTATTCATCTAAAACACCATTTCTAGATACTTGGGAGTCCCCTCTCTTTGAATTTTATTTATTTAGAAACTTTGGTGGGACTAGTAATGATTTGGATACTTTGGACTACCTCAGTGGTTCTTCTCCCTTTGAATTTTATTTATTTGAACACTTTGGGGGGATTAAGGATGATTTAAAATGGATATTGTTCTGTGATACTGTTTGTAGGCACTTTGTGGACTTCCCCCTTTCTCTGAATCTTATTTATTTAGACACTTTGGTGGAATTAATGATGATTTAATGTGAATGTTGTTATGGAACACCATTTCTAGGCACTTTGGACTTCCCCATTGGCCCTATCCTCTGAATTTTATTGATTTAGCTACTTTGTTGGGAGAAATAATAACCTAAAATAGCAGTAATCAAATTTCATGGACCTATTCACCTAAAACACCATTTCCAGGCACTTTGAATTCCTCCAACTCCCCCACCCACTCTGAGTTTTATTTATTTAGCCCCTTTGTTGGGAGAAATAATGATTCAAAGTAGTTATTCTTCTGAAACACCATATCTAGGCACTTTGAACTTCCCCATTAGCCCTCCTATCCTCTGAATTTTATTTATTTAGCTACTTTGTTGGGAGAAATAATGATTTAAAGTAGCTATTTTTCTAAAACACCATTTCTAGGTACTTTGGGACTTCCCCCTATGAGATTTATTTATTTAGCACACTTTGTTGGGAGAAATGATGGTAAAGATGTCTTCAACAGTATCAACTCAATCTGATATTGGTGATCTGAGATAGCAGTGATCAAATTTCATATACATTTTCTATACTTTACTACTGAAGTGGCTATTTGTCATTTATACTATAATTTGTACACCTATTCGTTGATACCATATAATTTAGTGATAATTGAGAATAATATAGGGTTCTATGTACAACTTTTCATTCAATGTGACTATGATAGATGATAGTGCAGTTAATGCTTCCAAGATTATGAATAATTATACTGGTATTAGTACTCATATTATAAGCTTATCAAATATTTCTATATCTACCACATTACAATTTAAATGAATATTGAAGTCTTCTCTATGCAATTGGAAAATTGGAATCAAAATATTAAACATTGTAAATTCCATGGATCAATATTCCCAAATATAAGAACTAACCTCCTAAATTAGATTGCTAAAATTCTCATCCAAATACTGTCATTAAAAATGTTATAAAATACAAGCTACTCAGACTTCTGAATTATCAAATATTTCTATCTACCAAGACAACAATTTAACACGTTCACTGGCAGATTAAAACAGTGTAATATTCTGCAAAATTACAATTTTTATTCTAGATCATTGTAAGCTACATAACCTAAAATTTGTTTCAGTAATAACTTTTGTAACCTTGTTAAAATTCATAACTTCCGTCCAAATTTACTTTTCTCAATGTCTTAACTAGAGAATTAATTTTTCTAGTATCATAATGGTAAATTTTGTCACCCATATATGGGTGACGTAGCAGTCAAAGTGTTAAATAAGTATTGAAGTCTTCTCTATGCAACTGGAAACTTGCCAATTCTACAGAAACCACCCTTCCAACAAAGATGGCTACAAATTTCCCCATAATAATAACAAAACCACCAAATGAAAGATAACCACCTGTCTCAACCATCCCCCCTCGCTCTCTGGTAAATAAAAATAGCTAAAATTCTAAACCAGATACTGTTATTAAAAATACTATAAAATACAAGATTCCCAAACTACTGAATTATCAAATATTCCTGCCTATTATATTATAAATTCAATAATTAATTAAAAATCATATTATAATTTAAATAAATATTGAATAGATCTCTCTACAATTAAAAAATTGGAATCAAAATATTGCCAATTCTACAAGAACCACCAACAAAGATGGCTAAAAATTTCCCCATAAAAATAACAAAATCACCAAAAGAAAAATAACCACCATTCTTAACCATTCCCCCTCCCTCTCTGGTAAATAAAAATGGCGGAAATTCTTATCCAGATACTGTTACTAAAAATACTATAAAATACAAGATACGAAAACTACTGAATTATCAAAAAATTTTTATTCACATATTACAAATTCAATAATTAATTAAATATCATGTTATAATTTAAATAAACATTGAATAGATCTCTATACAATTCAAAAATTGGAATCAAAATAGTTAACAGTGCCAATTCTACAGAAACCACCAACAAAGATGGCTAAAAATTCCCCAGAATAATAACTAAATCACCAGATGAAGAAAAAAAACGAAGAAAAAAGCAAACGTCGGAAACGTTCGCTGATAAATTGCCACACATCGGTGTTATCGGTTTCTTGTTACTCGAATAAAATTTCGCCTATCTTTATCTCCCCCCGGAAACCGTCGTCGAAAGTTGAATGGATCGATCTTGTCCTTAATTTTAATCCGTGCATCCGAGCCCAGCGAGCCACGAACGCTCGAGTCTCCCTTATCGTTTCGCGTGCATGCTTTTTCCATCCGGTTTGTCTGGATTACAACAGAGAGAAAGTCCTCCATCTGGCTTCGACGTTCCGCGTCGCGGAAGAAAGCTTCAATAAGATTCCGCCATTTTAATTCGACCCTTTTTCTATCTCAAAAGACATCGATACTGTAAAAAAAAATAATAATATTTGCCGTTGGAAAATGATAATTCGATTCTGAAATTTCGATTTTAAGTCGAGGTGGAATTTTGCTGGTGGAAAAAGAAAAATGGCGTACTTTTGGTCCAGACTGTTGCAATAATGAAAGATTCAGGGGATCGATGTCGCAGTAAGGCTATTTCTAGCGCGTCGTTTTCGGCGCGAATCGATTCCAACTGGTCCAAATTGTTATTCAAGAGTGACCATTGAGTAACTTTTGTCGAATTGTATTATTTATAACGAGATTATTGGAAAATAGTTTTAAAAATAGAGAAAAATCGAAAACTAATTTTTGGAAACATTTTAGTAATTAAAGAGTCTATATTGAGTCTAAATAGTTTGAAAACAGTGCACAAAAATAAATATCGACAAAATTAACGCGAATAACTAGAAAATATCAATGTCAAAGAAGTTCGTCAAATTTACTTTAACAAATTAAAATTTCTTTATTAATTATGGGGAATATCGAGTTTAAAAAGCATTCTAGCAAAGATAAAAATACTATTTCATGAACATAACCTCAAAAAATCTCGCCACCTCGAATTTTAAAACTGCTTTTCTAAATACAATTTTTAGGTTATTTTATTTTGATAAAACAATTTTTACCAAATACAACTGATACTTCAAAAAAATCCTACAAACCACACATTTACTTTAACAAATTACAATTTCTTTACTAAAAATATCTGAATATGATGTTGAATTAAAAAATTCATGGGGAATATCGAGTTTAAAAAACATTCTAGCAAAAATAAAAACACTATTCAACGAATATAACCTGAAAAAATCTCTCCACTTCAAATTTTAAAACTGCTTTTCCAAATACAATTTTTAGGTTATTTTATTTTAATAAAACAATTTTTGCCAAATACAATTGATAACTTCGATCGAAGGTAATATCAAATATCGAGTTTAAAAAACATCCTAACAGAGATCAAAATACTACTCCAATACTTCGAAAACAGTGCACAAAAATATTGAAAAAATAAACTGGTTCGAATAACTCAAAAAAAAAAAAAAAAATCAATGTATCAGAAAAGTCTTTCAAATTAAAATTTCTTTATTAAAAATATATATTCATCAAGTACCCAACGTTAAAACGAATAATTAATACAAAATATCAGGTTTAAAAACTCTACTCCTAAAGAAAAAAATACCATAACCTCCAAAAATCTCACCAGCTCGAATTTCAAAACGTCCACTCCAAATGCAATTTCATAGAAAAACCTGTTACTTCGATCGAAACCAAAGCGCAAAACCTATCGACGTTCGACTAAAATACTTCGTCGATAGCAGACCGCTCGGAAATCCCTCGTTCTTAACGAGCAGCCATTCAAGATTCGATCTGCACGTAGAAACGCGCGTGTCCTTTGCGAGCTCTCGGGGCACAGCATCTTCCGGGCGGCCGTAACACGCAGTACGTGCCCCCCCCTGTTCCCTTCGCTCGGTGCGTTTCGAATTTTTTAAAATAATGGGGAGATCGGCTCGCGAGAACGGGGGGGAGTCCCGGGAGAGGCGATTCCAGTTCGCAGTCATCGCTACTAATTACACGTGCAGCCGCACGTATACGACGTTACCGTCGATATTAGGTAGGTGGATACGTAATATGGCCCCCCTTTTCCGCCGAGTCTGCGTATACTGGGCTTTGTAGGTGTGCATGGCTATCGAACCGGTTCTCCTCTTCGAGGGGGGGGAGTTGAGCGACAAGGAGAGAAAGACAGAGAGAGAGACGGGAGCAAGGCAGCGGGGTAACCGGCCGGCGTCATGGACGATGGAGAGAGATGCCCTGGTCAGCATCCAAACGACCCACCACCGACCATCGGACTCGTGCACGTGAGATCGCCGCGACCGATCGGTCCGACCAGCTGCAAATTGGAGCCGCTTTTCGGTACGGTCCATCCAGCGGGACGATCGCGTTAAAGGTCCATCGATATACGCGACTTTCGATCTCTCCTTGCTCCGAGGACCCTGGGGTTCCCCAAGTTCGAAGTTCGAAGAATTTAATCGATGGGCAAAAAGGTCGAAATTCCAAAGGGGGGGGAGAAAAAGATTGCGGAAGCAAATTGCTCAAAGGGATCGTTTGTCTCGGACAGTCGGGACCCCAATTAACCCGTAATTATAGCCGCCGGAGGAGGGAAGAAACGAGCGCGGATTCACGGGAGGTGGGAGTTGAACGTTTCGAAGGAAAAACGAGACCGTTAGGTCGCCTATGATGTACCATCCGGAGCTCCGTTTCTTTCCCCTTTCCGTGATTCACTGCCGCGAGCAGGGCGGCGCAGGAGAGTGGGAAAAGAATCCTGCGAATAGTCCTTCGTATGTGTGTGTACATGTATGGTACTCACCGAGGCAGAGGAAAACCGCTGCTACGTCGAGGCGCCGCATCCTCGGTCGAGTGTGGAGCGATTGGAGCACGCGGGGCACGCAAAGTACACACAGTGGGAAACCTGAGACGAGAAACGACGGATCCCGTGTTTTCAGAGCCCTCGCCTCGCTGTCATTCTAGTCTATTCCCTTTTCTGTTTTAAGCGAAACCAACGGAACGAGCACACCGCACGAGACCCGGGACCGAACGATCCGTACACCACGAAGCGACGCGCGATACTGAGGGCCGCTAACCCACGCCGCGCCGGAGCGACCCCTACCCCCGAGGGTTCACGGCCGATCGAACGCGTCGGGCTGCTGGCGACAGATGGCGCCCTGTACCGGCCGATAAACCCACTTACCGACGTGTTATGGGATTCCTATGGGGGATGCAGACTTTGAGGGGCTTCACCGTCGATATATTAAGAAATAATTAGAGAAATATTGACCAGTTCATTCTTGTGACTTTCTAGTATTGCTATTTAACCCTTAAATTGACTTTCAATCGCAAATTAACTATTTTATTTCATGTTTTTTTTGTAATAAATTGGTAAATGGATGTTTCACCATCAATATTTCGAGAAATAATTAAAGAAATATCGAAGAGTTAATTCTTGAGACTCTGTAATATCTCTATTTAACCTTTAAGTGGACTTTCAATCTCAATTGAGCTATTTATAAAAAAGTGCCTTTATAAATAAAAAAAAAACTAAAAATTCTAAGTCTAAAATTGATCAAACACGATGTTTAATTAATATTTAAGTAGTCAAGTACGAACATGAATTTTAAAGATTGTTCAGTAGTCTGGAATAATTTAGAACGAAGGACAGTACAATTCAAATTCGATATATTATTTCATACATCTTATGACACGTACGTCGTTGTTCTCTCCCTCGGTAGCCGTAGGCATCGTAATCGATAGTATTTATAATAACAATCTAAACAGTCATGTTACTTACATCCCTACATTTACTATATACTTCTTTCGCTTTACATATTCGTGTTTATTTCTCTCTGTCACTTCTATCATCTATGCTTCATCGACGTCTGTGGAGGTGTTGACGAGCTACGCAAAAGAAAAATGGGGAAGCGACCTCTTTGCAATGATTTTCACAAAAAATCGAGGACTCGTTGGATCGAAAAATCGGTGCTTCGTCTCTGCTTCTGTATTTACAGAAATGTACAGTCTTTGACGAGAGACTCACACTGTTCCTGGGATCATTAAAAGGAGCAATTGGCGCGATTGCAACAGGGACTTTTGACAATTGAATGTTCCATCTGATCGTGGGCGTATCGATACCGATTGGATCTGAACCAGAAACGAATAATGGGAATCCCCCTAAAAAATTCTCCCCACTTGGATCGTAAATCGTAAAGCACTCGATTCGAAGGATTAAAATTGTACACCGCGAGGTTCGACACTGTCCAGACCGCGAATCCGTCCCTCTGGCGCGAAGGTATCCAATCGATTATCGATACGACAAATAAATGCTGGAATGAAAATAGCTTCCAAGCGACAGCTTCCTTCGAACGTCCTGGGCGACTCAGAATCATCAAAAATGGTACATATTTACACAGACGATCGCGGGTGGGGTGTGCCTTTGTATATATATACACACATAATTTATGTACATATATGCCGCGTTCTCGTTCACATGTACGGGTTAATGAGAAATCCTTAAAAACGAAGACAATGAACTCTATTTACTCTCTCGTCGTTTACTGGGGAATTTTCGTCTAACTACGTCGATCTCCTCCCGAACGGCGCATAGTCTATTTATTTATAATTATTTACATCGGAGGCTCTCCGATCCCGCCTCTCTCTCTCTCTCTCTCGAATGGTATCACATATGTAAAACACTGACTTCGCGCGGGAAGGAGAGTCGCGGGTAAAAACGACGCGAACTGTACCGATTTAATTATACTACTTTCTTCCCTGGAAAGATTATTTCGTCCCCTCGATCGTGATTCGACGATGACTAGTCACGGTTCGAGACGATTACGAAATCGTTATCAAATTGCACTTTTCGACGAAGGATAGAAAAATTCAAACTAACCAGCATCCGCTTGTCTGGGGGAGAGGGGGGGGGGGGGCCTAGCGTTCTGTCGTAATTAGAAAATCGTTGATTCGTGTGTAAAAAGTCTATTAAACACACCCGTTCACTGTCCGTGGCCCGCATATGGGTCATGCCCACCGTGCTATTAGATACGCCGCTGGAGGAGCCGGACAGTGAACGCATGTTCGAGTTTTATAATATCCCCATTTTATGGCACAAGCAGGAAGTGAGATAGGAGCCGTATATATGGAGATGGATGGTCGCTCGAGCGCTTGCGAGAGAGTCGAGAGCGTGGCCCTCTGGCGGCCACTACGGGAGGCCACTGTTTCTTTCTGGAGAATTGTCTGATTGGTCGAGCGAATGCTGGATAAAACGGTATAAAGCAACGAATTTTTCAAAGACAAAGACATCGGGGAATGGTGGTCGCTTATCGTACAATACGTTATCTAAAAATCGGAACTTGTAGCTTCAAGATACCGGCGCTTACGAACCTATTCACCGATCCGTGACTCGCTCTTGCTCCCGAAACAAAGTACACCGACAAAAATTCGCCTACTGAGGGTGGGGAGGGGGGCTTCTATCGAACGCAATAAAACGGTTATGGCACTGGGCGAGTCACGCGTAATTTATCGATATGTCTAACGCGAAAGACTGTCTTTGGCCGCGTTCGCCATCGACTTTCCAAGTCCGTTCAGCTATCGATGATATGTACCGATTGCCTCGTCGTTCGCATCAGCGAGCGATCATTCACTTTCTGTCGCCCCAACCGGCGCTATTGTAAAACCAAGACGAGGCGCTCTCGTCCCTTGTTTTGCTCCATGTATTGTCCAAACCGCTACCCCCACCGTCCTGAAAACAAAACAAATCTGTCACGCAAATATAGACCACGTAATACCAATAATAATATTTCTCAACTCAACTCAAGCAATTGGCTACTCAAATAATAACTTATCGAAATTACCACAACGTTCAGTTGATGGGTGGCTGGCGAGAGGTAGTCCATGTTGGTATAGTAAGAAGAGTAATTTTGGTAGCACTGCTGCTGCGAGGTGGTCGTCGTCCAAGCTAGCCTCTGATGGTCACCGGGGAACCCACCGCCGCTCTCCGTGACCGCTGGACTCCAGATACTACTGCTGCTGCCCCCACTGCTGTACACAGTGCCTCCTAACTGTGAACAGTCGGTAACCGTTCTCTGAGGACTTACCCACGGTCGGTAAAACTTATCATTGGTCGGTAACTTACGCTCGGGGGAGTCGTGCTGGCCGCCAGGAGCAAACTGGTCGCGCTTCCTGGTGGTTTGTACTGCGGGGAATCCCTCAGGAGTGCCGGGGAACTGGCCGCCGAACCACCTGTACCTCCGCTCCTACGCACACGAGTTAAAACTATACAACATAGTATCTTCCACCGTATCAATCGACACGTCTAGCGATCATATTCGACTCCATCGCGATTAAATAAAATTCCAGGGAAGCTTTCTGAGGGGACGCAAAGGTAGATATCGATGTAATAGATATTTACAGGGGTGTTGTGGCAGGCACCGCCGCGGCAGGCGTGGGCGTGGTAGCAATCGAAGGACTTTTTCCTGAGGGCGGATTGTTGGTGGGATTCCCCGAGGGTTTCTTCGACCTCGGTGCTTTGTCCTGTTGTTGCTGCTGCTGCTTCTGCTGCTGCCTGCACTTGGCTCTGCGATTCTTGAACCATACCTATTGGACACACATTGCAAAGCCTCCATAAGTATTTTGCGAAGTAAATAAAAATAGGGGTAGCTTTGAAATCTTGCAATTTCTTTTTCTATGGCAGTTTTAGATGGAAAAATTGTGGGATCCGTTTGTTTTCGCGAAAGCTGCTTTCCAATCTATATTTTCCCCGGTTCAAACGCGACGAGGCTCCTATGGGAAACGAGCTTGGGGAATGGTGTGGCAGAGCTTTCCGTAAAGCTGGCGTAATAGCCAATTATAAGGGAATGCCAGCACTCGCGCAACTATCAATTACCAATGAAGCCGGCTTCGGTAACGCGAGCGGAAACCTGCACGCGTGTACGAGCCTCGTTCGATGGAACGAAATTGCGAAAATCGAACCAACAGTTTCTCTCGTCTAGATCCCGGGGGTTCCCCGTAAATAGAATATCGACGAGAACGACGGACACACACCGGGGGAGACAGAGGTCCGAACGAAGCCCCGATTCGAAGGAGGAACCTTAATTACGAATGCATGTAGACCACCACCCCGGGGGATGCTTTCGAATTATTCAACGGGGACATGAAAATTTTCGCAGGAACCTGGACTCTCTCCTCCTCCCTTCGACCCACCCCCCCGGGTCCTCTCTCGCCCTCCTAGATTTCCAGAACGCGAGAAACGACCTCGAGAGAGAAGGACGCCGGAGAGAACGAAACGACTGGAAGAACGAAGACAGAGAGGCTAAAGAGGCGAAAGAGAGGGAGAGGGGTGAGGGAGACGAGAGGAACCTAGAGAAGCCCTGCGCGATCAATGTTAGAGGCGGGAGAGGTGAGCTTGGGTTTCTAACGGATTTTCTGGGGAACGACACACACGTTGGAGCGGCGTTCTTCCACCGGGGAAGAGTATTTTTCCTCCACGGAATTCTCCCAGTTTTAAAACCTCCTGCAAACTTTAACTCGGACGAGAAATAGGGGGAATCACCGAGTAGAGCAATTCTAGCAAGGCCCCATGACATTAAACAGTCGATCGTGGAGCGTATATATAGGAATGGGGCCTCAGTGAAACGCTTACGAGAACTTGTGGCCCTCTGGCGGCGAGTATAGGAACTGTAGAATACTTCGAGACACTTTTTTGAAAATATCTCGAGAACTGATCACTTTTTGGTTACGATACCTTAATAACTTTTTGCGCAGAATTGGCAGGGGAATGAATCTGTGCAATAAAAAATACGCAATTCCATTTATTGCAAATAGATTGTCGAATTTGAACAAACACAGTACTCTTCGAGCCATTTAACCTTCTCCTAATTTGTTCGTGAATGCATTAATAACAGAATTATGAGCCTGTATATAGGAATGGAGGCCTAGTGAAACGCTTGCGAGAGACACGAGAGCGTGGCCCTCTAGCGGCGAGCACAGGAACCATTCCTAATGTTTTCCTTCGACCGGAGGCTGACCACCCCAGGTTTTGCAGTCGTCGACGAACGTGCAGAAGACTATGGGCACGGTTGGACCCGTTGAATCGATTCGCAGGGCCGGGGGCCAGGTGCAGGGGCCCGCAATTGCGGATGCTACGCGTCCCTCAGGCCCCTGATGAGGGTGGAATATGCATGGGCACGTTCTCGACTTGGAAAGTCGATTCTGGACGACGGACGCGATCTTTTTGTCACGACCGGGGGATGGAAGTTCTCTTTTCGAGTCGACTCGAAGCGCAGGAATGCTTTTCAACGGGGAAACAATACCGACACGGGGTGAACTACTAACTCGGTTAACACCCGCTATCCAGGAAACACGAGCGTCCGGTAAATCGATGCTGTCTACTGGCTGTGACTGCATGCCGACAGTGCCACCCCTAGGTAACGAGACACCGACCATTGCACCCCCATCGACACGCGAGAGACCCGGCGTCCTTGCCTTTTCGAGAAGGCAAAAGCCGCGTCGAGACATACCTGCACTCTCGATTCCGGAAGGCTGATCTTCATCGCCACTTCCTCGCGCATGAAAATGTCCGGGTACTTCGTCTTCAAGAACAGCCCCTCGAGGACGTCCAACTGCGCCCTGGTGAACGTCGTTCGTTCCCTCCGTTGCTTCCTGGGGTTACCTTCGACAGAATACGCAACGACTATGACACTAGTTCACCCGGACAACTGGAAAACTGATTTCAATTTGCACCCAAACATTGGAAATATTCGTTCCAAAGGGGGTGAAAGTTTCTAGAAATTTGTAAAAGTCTGTGTAAATGATGTATTAAAATTTGCAACGACTATGACGCTGGTTCACCTGGACAACTGTAAAACTGATTTTACCGGGTGTTAATTTGCAACCAAATATTGAAAATATTTGTTTGAAAAGGGATGAAAGTAATTAGAATGTTCGAAAAGTCTGTGTAAATAATGTATTAAAATTTGCAAGCGCACCGCGAAGACCAAAACAGTAATGCTAAATACAGATATTTGAAATGTTTGTCCGGTTTGCAATAAAAATGATCAAATTTGTAATTTACATAAATTCACACAGACGGATTTTTCTGAAAGCAGCTTACCGAATTCGGGATTTAAAGCACGCAATTTTAACCCCTGGCGATGCGTCGAATTTTCGAAGCAATTAATCTTTGAATTTTCTTTTTTTTTTTATGTAAAAGCAATCAATTTGTTAAATAGAGAATTATTAGTAAAATAGTCCTCACACTTTTGTCAAAATGGACGATTAAGAGGGTATTTTAGTGTGAAATTTTTGTATAATTTTTTTTGAATAAACTATAACACCTTTTGCAGTAAAATTTTTAAGGTTTGTTTATGTGTATTCTGGGGGCATTTTAAAATTTTTTTGGACGAAAGAATGTTAAAATTGGTGGCACTGCATGCTAAAAAGTTCATTACACGGTGTGTTTACTAAAATTGCTGTTTTGTTGACAATTTTGAATATATTATTATGACAGAAATAGTGTGTACTCCTTAAATATAAGTCAATACTATGTTATAAATCTAGATACAATAATATCTCATGGATCTTCAAAAAAAAATCTCCATTTGGCACCAAAAAATTGATCTCTAGACTAGAATACCCGCTTAAGTGATAGGTGACCCCTCACGGATAACTGATATGTCTATTGAAATTTGTATGAAGGTTATGGGTATGGAAAAAATAGTATGTACTCTTTAAACATAAGTCAAAATCATGTCACAAATAGACTAGAATACCCTCTTAAGTGTTAAGTCGCCCCGGATAACTGAAATGTCTATTAAAATCTGTATGAAGGCTATGTCTATGGAAAAAATGGTATGTACTCCTTAAACATAAGTCAAAATCATGTCACAAATCACAATACAATAATATTTCACGGTTTTTCAAAAAAAAATCCCCAAATGGTACCCAAAATGTCTATTAAAATCTGCATGGAAGCTATGGCTACGAGAAAAATAGTGTGTACTCTTTAAACATAAGTCAAAACCATGTCACAAATCCCAATACAACAATATTTCATGATTTTTCAACAAAAAATCCCCAAATGGTACCCAAAATGTCTATAAAAACCTGCATGAAAGCTATGGCTACGAAAAAAATAGTGTGTACTCCTTGAACATAAGTCAAAATCATGTCACAAATCCCGATACAATAATATTTCACGGTTTTTCACAAAAAAACCTCAAATAACACTTAAAAATTGACCTCTAGACTAGAATACCCCCTTAACTGTTAGGTGACCCCACACACATAACTGATATGTCTATTAAAATCTGCATAAAGGCTATGGCTATGGAAAAAATAGTGTGTACTCTTTAAACATAAGTCAAAATCATGTCACAAATAGACTAGAATACCCTCTTAAGTTTTAAGTCATCCCGGATAACTGATATGTTTATTAAAATCTGCATGAAGGCTACGACTATGGAAAAAATAGTGTCTACTCTTTAAACATAAGTCAAACCCATGTCACAAATAGACTAGAATACCCTCTTTAGTGTTAAGTCACCCCGGATAACTGATATTAAGGTGAAAGACTCATGGAAAATGGTAAATCGAGGAGTGATATTTGACAATTTTTTGACAGCATAAGGGTTTGTTGAAACTTTTCGACACTTTCCACAAATATTCTTTAAGATTTTGAGATACAAATAATTATTTAGAATAAAAAATCAAACAACATTTTGTTCATAATAGTACTACACGTCGTATGATCCAAAATTCTCCTTAAAAAATACAAAATTGACAAAGATACACGGCTCTGAACATAACAAAATGTTTCTTGCAATAAATTACTAATTTAATTATGCAATAAACATAGTGTAAATAATTATTATTATTAAATGTCGTTCGATTTTTTATTCCAGATGAAAGGAAAAAAGTGCTAGACTGCACCTAAGGAACAACATCTATTATTTCACATCCAAAATCGATAAAAAGTAACAGAAAAAAAAATTATTTGCATCTCGAAATGTTAAAGAATATTTGTGGAAAGTGGTGAAAAGATTCATTGAACTCTTCTGCTGTAAAAAAATAGTCAAACATCGGTTCTCGTTGCACCATTTTACACGAGTCTCGCCCCTTGAAATCTACGTGGACGGCGGGAGTCTGGGGGATCGATAGCGATAGAAATCGATACGTAGAAGTAGTATAAAGTCAAGGGTGCACTCACAGTAGTAGGACTCACCGGCGGGAGTACAACCGGGGTAGCCGATGGTGGAGTGTAGCGCCTCGATCGGCGGCATGCCCAGGGCGCTGACGTAGGGGTTGGTCTTCAGGGCCCCGTAGGGCCCGGCCGCGGACGCGCCAAACGCGGCGGGCCCGAAAAGCTCGGAGGCCGAGGTGGTGGAGGCGGCGAGGCCCCCGAGATCGGCGGCGCCGGCGCCCCCGCTGCAACCGGAAGTACCGCCGAGGCTGTTCGGCCACATCACCACCCCCTCGGCCCCCACCACGACCACCCCCCCGCCCCGCGGCCTCTCTACACCCACCTCCTCTGCTCCTCGGAATTACTCGCTGCTTCTGGAACAAAAATAAGAAAAAAAATTAACGCTTGAAAAACTCGAAATCAACCCCTCAAATTTTCACGATTTTATCATTGTTCTCCTGTAACAGGGTAGTTGTAATTTTAACCCTTAAGTGGACTATCAATGTCAACTGTGTTGTTTTGACAAATTGGTAAATGAATATCAACTTTCATTGAAGTGTTTAAAAAATAGTGAGCTAATGGAGGATTACATACTATATACGTCATAATAAATGGGAAAAAATTCATAAAAAACGAGTGTACAAATGAGAGTAACAATGCTCCCCATTTTTCTAATTATTTCCTCCATTCTATTTAATTTGTTATATTATTAAAATATTATAAAATGGGGCTCACACCTAACCCAGCATTTTTATCAATGTTTTCATTATTATTCCATTTTCTATACCTAAATCTATGACCCCAAATGCAGAGCCTAAGTCTAGTAGTTTCTAAATCTGTAGTTTCTTAATAAATACAAAATGGCGTCTCATCCTCAGTATCTATATTTTTATCAATGTTTTCATTATTCTACACCTAAATCTATGACCCCCAAATGAACAACCTAATATCTCTAATTTCCTTAATAAATACAAAATGGCGTCTCATCCTCAGTGTCTGTTTTGACGAACCGTTTACGAGAGACAGTCTGCCATATTTCGATTGTTTTCGTCACATGTTAATTACCAAGGCCCGATTATCCGGTTCTAATCCGAAACATGTGCTAGGCGACTGGTCCGCGGACGTAATAAACTCAAAGGCAAATAAATTAATAAGGGGTCCGGCAAGAGGCGCGTGATCGAGACCGGAGCGACGTTCTTGACTTTGTAATCGGAGAGGATAAAACGCGGCTTAAGCGGCGCAAAGTCTGCTAGTCGAAGTCGCCATGCTCGTCCACCTCCCCCCCCCCCCCCTTTTTTCGTCCTTCGGTTCTCGGTTTTCGACAGCGAGACGCGTTTTCGGAATTAGGCCTCGCGGCTGTCCGGTAACGCGGTCTTCGAAAAACCGTACGCGGAGTCGTGTTGCATCTTCCTCGGGATTATCCAGGCCAGCTGCCAACCGCGCTCTTATTTCCATCTTCCGCGATCGGGTTCGATATTCGTAACTTTACGTCAGCCGCTACTTCCGGTTCGGGTCGTGGCTTCGTTAATAAAATCGTCGTTTATTAAAGGGGGAGATTCGTGCACACTGGTAAAACGAAGGGCGATGTTTGACAATTTTTTTTACAGCATAAGGGTTTCATGAAACTTTTCGCCCCTTTCCACATATATTCCATATATGTATATAGAAGGTGTTCAGCAATCCCTGGAAAAAATTATAATGGGAGATTCTCCAGGTGAAACTAAGACGAAAATCAAGAATAACAATTTTTTGATGGAGGCTTCGTTAACAAGTTATTAACAGTTGCGCCTGTAGATGAGCAACTTGCGTAACTGTTACAGGCGCAACTGTTAATAACTTGTTAACGAAGCCTCCATCAAAAAATTGTTATTCTTGATTTTCGTCTTATTTTCACCTGGAGAATCTACCATTTAAATTTTTCCCAGGGGTGGCCGAACACCCTGTATATACATATAGGTATGGGACCTCAGTGAAACGCTTACAAGAAACACGAGAGCGTGTGGCCCTCTGGCGGCGAGTATACAAACTATAGAATACTCAAAGACACTTTTTCGAAAATATCTCGAGAACTGATCATTTTTTTGCTACGGTACCTTAATAACTTTTAACGCAGAATTGTCAGGGGAATTGATCTGTGTAACAAAAAGTATGCATTTACGTGACAAAATAAAATAAAATCCATAAAACTTACAAAAAAAATTACAAAAATGTTTAGCTATGAGTTGGGTGAACGAAACTAGTTTTTACCTTTTTTTTTGACTTACTATCGCGCAGGAATAGATCGAAGAACAATTCTTGAGGTGGTTTGTAGCCAAGAGGAGCATTTTGGAAATTTCTAGCATCGCTGGTGAGGGGGTGGGTGGGGGAGCAATTTCGCGGTGCCGGATCGCGTTTAAACGGTACGCTTGCTCGGAATGAAATTTCGCATCGATAAACCCGCTTTAATGGAGCATTGTTCCCGTTTCGGTGGTCTCCGGGCGTCGGTGCCCGGGAGTTTCGAATGAAAGGAACGACTCGAAGGGCGCCTCTTCACCGTGCTCGTGCGATTACTCGAGCGAAAGTTCTTTCGCGCAAATATGGATGAAACACCCACATAGGCACTCGACAGCCACTCGACTTTTGCGGAGTGTACCGTGCACCCCGCTGCGTTCGTCGTTCTACAACAGTTTCGAGTCGATTCTCCAACAAAATCGAGGCGGAAAAAAGATTTACGAGTCAAGGAAAACGTGGATGATCGAAGCGTAGAGACACTGTTACATGGAAATCAATGCAAGTACAATGGGGGAGAATTTCTGGGATGAGGAAACGATGGGTGGGCTCAACATAGATATTCACCTTCAAGATCGATGCAAATGGCAAAGAAGACAAAATTTCTGAGGCATGGAAGACATGCACAAGCTCAAAATAGACATTGCACATCAAAATTAATGCAAATTTCACTGGAAAAAAAATTATTAAGGCGAGAGAAACATGGTCAAGCTCAAAATAGAGATTGTACCTCAAAATTAATGCAAATTTCAATGAAAAAAAAATACTAAAGGCAAGAGAAACATGGACAACCTCAACATAGACATTCTCCTTCAAAATCGATGCACAAATCAATGAAAAAAAAATTCCTAAATCAAGAAAAACATAGTCCAGCTCAAAATAGACATTGTACCCCAAAACCAATGCAAATTTCAATGAAAAAAAAATTCTTAAGGCAAGGAGACATGGCCCAGATCAACATGGACATTGCTCCCCCAAAATCGATGCAAATTTCAATGAAAAAAAAAATTTCTGATGGAAGAGAAACATGGTCAAGCTCAAAATAGACATTGTACCTCAAAATTAATGCAAATTCCAATGAAAAAAAAATTCTAAAGGCAAGAGAAACATGGACAAACTCAGCATAAACATTATCCTTCAAAATCAATGCAAATTTCAATGAAAAAAAAAATTCCTACATTCAGAAAAACATAGTCCAGCTCAAAATAGACATTGTACCCCAAAATCAATGCAAATTTCCATGTAAAAAAATTCTTAAGGCAAGGAGACATGGCCCAGATCAACATGGACATTGCTGCCCCAAAATCGATGCAAATTTCATTGAAAAAAAAATTTCTGAGGGAAGAGAAACATGGTCGAGCTCAAAATAGACATTGTACCTCAAAATTAATGCAAATTCCAATGAAAAAAAAATTCTAAAGGCAAGAGAAACATGGACAAACTCAACATAGACATTATCCTTCAAAATCGATGCAAATTTCAATGAAAAAAAAATTCTTAAAGCAAGAAAAACATGGTCTAGCTCAAAATAGATATTGTACACCATAATGAATGCAAATTTCAATGAAAAAAAAATTTCTGAGGCAAGAAAAACATGAGCAAGCTCGACATGAACATTGCTCCCCTAAAAACAATACAAATTTCAATGAAAAAAAATTCCTAACTGAATAAAAACATGTACAACCTCAAAATAGGCACTGTCCCTCAATATCACAGCAAACTTTATTCAAGAAAAAAAATTTCTGAGCCAAGAAAAACATGGACAAGCTCAACATGAACATACTCCCCTAAAATCGAACAAATTTCGTTGAGAAAACAAATTTCTAAAGGAAGAGACACATGGTCAAGCTCAAAATAGACATTGTATCTCAATATCAATGCAAATTCAATGAAAAAAAAATTCTTGAATCAGGGGAAACGTGGACAAGGTCAACATAGACATTATCCTTCAAAATCGATGCAAATTTCAATAAAAAAAAATTCCTAAATCAAAAAAAGACATAGTCTAACTCAAAATAGACATTGTACCCCAAAACCAATGAAAATTTCAATGAAAAAAAAATTTCTGAGCCAAGAAGAACATGGACTAGCTCAACATGAACATTACTCCCCCCAAAAAATACAAATTTAATTAAATAAAAAATTCCTAACTCAAAAAGAACATGTTTACAACCTCAAATGGACCCTCTCCCTCAAATATCAGCAAGCTTTATTGAAGAAAAAAAATGTCCTAGCCAAGGAAAACATGGATAAGCTCAACATGAACATTGCTCCCCCCCAAAAAGTACAAATTTAATTAAAAAAAAAAATTCCTAACTCAAAAAAAACGTGTTTACAACCTCAAAATGGACACTCTCCCCCCCAAAGTCACAGCAAGCTTCATCGAAGAAAAAAGATTTCTGACTCAAGGAAAACATGAACAGCCGACGGTCCCCGAGACAATATGGCCGTTTAATTACGTACGGGTTCTTCGGTAGGAGAGATCCTTCCGCCGAAATGAAGTTTCAGCCCGATGAAAGAGAATCCATAAAGCTTCCCCGCGACGCCTCGTCCCCGTCCGGCTATATTAAAATTTGGCCCGCTATGAAAAGAAGGCCAGGCCGAAGAAAGGCGGTCTCTCTCTATCCCTCAGCCTCCGGAGGGTCCTCGTGAGCCAAGTCAGGCGCGAATCTCTACCTTTGTGCGCCCCGCGCGCTTTACACTAGCCACAAAGCACTCGTTACAAGCCATCCGGCGCGGCTGAGAAACGTGCAAACAATCACCGGACGGCAATAATCGCTGTTTCGATTCCACCCCCGCGCGTTCCCCTCCACGCTCTGCGGTTCTTCGCGCGTCCCGGACGCGAAACGGTGGTTTCCGCACCGGTAAACGCGAATCGCGGTCTCCGTCGATGGCTGAAAAGGGGGGTTGCAACACTTATTTACACCGCGGTGATATTAAAAGCACGTCGAGGAATCGAGGAACCTTTGAAAATCCAGCGGCCACAATTCTTTTTATCTTTGTGCAGACGAATAA